AATAGGTATTTTGTATTAGTTTTTGTATAACGCCTGAACAAAAACAAAGGGTAATATTTTGGTGTTATACATTGATTTCGAATATAAAAAATATATAATTTAACTAATTAAGACATGACAAAAAAACTGAGGTATGTCTCGTTTCTGTCGGGCCTGGGTCACAGATGACCGTTCTTCTTTAACAGTTTGTCAAAACATCATAGTTTAATCCAAAGTTAGCCATCATTAAAGGACTGGTCCATAAATAGAGTTTAACCACGCCAAAGTGTTTTTCATTTCGCATATCATACAAGACAGAATAATTAAAATAATAGAAGTATACGTAACTAAAATATCACCCACAAAATCCCTTATAATTACCGCAGTTAAGAATACTTATATTTTACACAAATGTACTTATATTTAAATAGATTATAATTTATAAATAAAATCTATAACATAAAATGCCGAGAGCAAAAATCTTAATATTGTACTTGCCAGCAAAAAGCTATTTGTAATAAATAAATCATATTACTTTTTAAGTATTAAATATCTGTCAAGGAACATTATAATGGACAAATGTCATAAATTCATGTTAATAAATATAATACATACATTAATTAATTATATTAAATTCTATGAGTGCTGTACTTTCTACAAGTGACCTAAACCTTATAATGGAAGATTAAAATAATAATGTATAATTGACACCACCAAATAAATTATCACCAGGCAATCTTCAAATTCCACTGTCCACCGTGTGTCTCGTTAAAAACTCGATATTGGCGAAACCAGAGCCCCGATTACGGTAATTTTTAACGTCAACAATCCAGACACGCTTCTCGATTCTGCGATACGATTGGTCGTTCAACAGCGTACGTCAGCTGTTTTGACCAATCGTATCGCAGAATCAGAAACGCGTCTGGATTGTAGACGTTATAAAAGTTACCGTAATCGGGGCTCAGTGTGCTTCAAATACGCACCGTTGAAGCCATTAAACCATAAACAGAATATTAATAATGACAGTTTTCTTATTGCGCTTACCAGTTGGCGCCACTGGCGAGTGGCAGGACTAATCGACAGTGGCGCCAATCTGGTGATTGCAAATGCGAATGTCCGCGCTCACCAGTTGGCGCCACTCTCTTAGCCACAAACAAGTGATAAGACCTTACTCGCTAACGCCCGTTTCCTATATTCAATCCTTGTCCAAATCCGGATTACAACTGTCAAATTGAATTCAGTTTTAGATTAAATTTCCAAAATGTTCGATGCATTTACACTTTAATATTGTTTAAATAGTCTTATAAACAATATAAAAATATAAAACCGCAGATATTTTGACCAAAAACATATTAATATTTGACAGTTGACAATCCAAATCCGTCCAATTTGGATTAGGATTGAATATAGAAATCCAGCATAAGAGACATTCCCACCTCTCGTTCCTACCACTGCAACTCCTGTGTAGCCAGGATCTACAGCTTGACCGCCACAAAAACCCAACCAATGAAGGTCAAGTTTGTCCCGGGGGAAAGTTAAACTGTCATTGGACCCGCAACGAAATCAATCAGAAGAACATAGGAGGAGTTCGAAATTAAGGTTCGACTTCCCTCCATTGCAAAGCGGAGGGAAGTCGAACCTTAATTTCGAACTACCTGAGGGGTTTCTTTGTGCCTACCAGATGGTGCCACTAGCGAGTAAGGAGGAAGGAGGAGTTCGAAATTAAGGTTCGACTTCCCTCCATTGCAAAGTCGAACCTTAATTTCGAACTCCTCCTTCCTCCTTACTCGCTAGTGGCACCATCTGGTAGGCACAAAGAAACCCCTCAGGGACACAATTTTTATGAGTTGTTTCAACGCGAACTATTTTTATTGACAAACCAAATAAAATTAACTTTACTGTTAGGTAATTGAAATCTAATTTGAGTTTTCATAGCTAGAAGGAAGTGTTGTCCTTTTAGAAGTTGTGTCTTAAATAGTGTGTTAATAATAAATGGTATGGTGTCAAGTCAAGTAACTAATAAAAATTAATAAATTACTACTAATAACACAACTGAATATCACAAATTGTACGAAAATAATCGGTAACATTAGTCATAGAAGCAAAAAAAAGATAGATTTATACTGTCGTTTGTTCTTTCGCCATGTATCTCTTATTTACCAGATATTTTATGCACAGCTTATATTTTTAAAATAACTCTCAGACTTTAAACAAATGTATTCAATCTAAACTGTATGTCATGCGAATGCTTTGAGTGTAGAGTAGAATCACCTTTATTTTAAAACATTGTCGGGTTTACTTATTAAAACACTTATTTTAAAAAACAATGCATCAATAAATGAAAGGACATAGACAGAATTTAAGCGATTTGATAATATTTTATCTACGAAGGTACGAATATAATATAATTGACTTCATTAATTTCCTCATTTTATACCACAATCTTTTTTCATTCATCTCTCACTATATCAATGAGCAAAATTAAAAATCAATCGATTTTAATATTTACCTAACCAACAGAGGGACGTATTTATTTATTTATATTTACAGCAAACGTTTACATTTGGCCGACTTATTTCTAAAAGCATTCACTACCAGAGAGAGACAAGAAAAGTAAAGCATATATCTAAAATAGGATCAATTTGAATACATAAAATACACTTACATAACAGACAAATAAATATACAATATAATAATAAAAATACATAAAACATACACACAATAATACTTAAAGAGGCAAAGTAATAATATAGTGTTCTTAAGATAGAGGGCGCTACTTTGATAAATAAATAATACGTCCATGTAATACAATTCTTCTTAAGCTACTTACACTTTTTATAAATACAATAAAAGCTTTATATTTCAAGAAAATACATTTTCCAATTTAATATGAACACTGATCAGCACAGCAACCTACCACAAAAGCACGAAAATCGACAATGAATTTTGAACCTTCTCTTCATCGAATAAGGTCTAATTTCACATTTTGTGAGAGGTTGATGTGCGGTCGACTGTCATACATATTACGAAAATATGTGCAATTTTTATATGACAAAATACATGGTCAATATTTTTTACTAAATTACCAAAGGCAGAATTTATACTGCGCTGGAATGGTGGTACGGACCACGGCACATCTAGTTAAGCATTAGAATCTTATTCAATTCAAAAATGTGTAGTTTAATGTACCTACAGTCAACTTACATTACAGTCTAATTAGTTTTTAATGCTTTATATTTTCGGCTTGTTTTTTGACGCTGACTGTACACAAATACATGTTGAGGAATGTTTTTTATTGATATTTACAATCGAACAATGTTAATAGAAACTATAGGATCAAACGAACGAAATATACAATACAATACAACAATTAACGTATTAACAGCCTAATAACTACGGCAGGTTAAATTCTAACAATAAAATGCTGAAAATTTGTCATAATAATAACCAACAAAAATCTAAAAGTACCGCACACTATCCGCAAACGGATTTTCCATCTTCTTGCCTACTTCATTTTATCTTCTTTTCTTAGTTCATTTAACTTTGGATCAATGGAAGTTCAATACTTTACTTGGCTAATACCCGTTTTCACCAACTATTCCTAACTTTTAAGTGATCCCTATGAAAACAAAATTCCTGTTATGTTACAATAAAAATTGAAATTAGGGATTGTTGGTGAAAACGGGCATAATTCTTCCTAAAATAAGGCCTATTACTTGATACCGGCGATTAGTGTGCGAAACTCCAAACCAATACCATACTCCACCTTAATCAATATCCAGATTCTTGAAAGCCTTTTCCATGGCCTTATCCCGCTTCTTATCCGGGAGGGCCAGGATCCTCTGTTCCTCCTCCTCCCTGAAGTAGGGCTCCATAGCTTGTAAGAACTGCATGCACTTCTTGTGCAAGGTCTGGGTGTCGGGAAGGGTGCCGCCATGGTCTTGGGGAATGACCGAACGAGGGATGACGGTCTCGAAGAATGATTCGAGGTCCTCATCTTTGTGGTGGAAGTTTAGCTGGAAATGTTAAATGTTGTGTTAGGTTTGGGTTTCAAAAATTGATAATAATTTATTAAATTCATTGCCTCGTGTAGTATAATGGATGTTAAATTGTAGGTATCTTGGAGCTAAATATGATCCCTACTTGGCATTGCAACGTCAATAGTAGGTGATAATAATATGACGTATTCCACTTTCAGCAACCGTTCAAATAGCACCTGCACAAATGGCACCTGGCCTATTCCACTTAGAGCACCTATCGATATTTTGGGCAGGTGCTCTAAGTGGAATTAAATTTATTTTTACGACGTATTCCACTTGAGAGCACCTACAACACAGCAGTCTAGAGCTATAAACTACAAACAGAATATATAATCCCACCAAAAACATTCTGTAAAAACTAGCCAAGTCTCGATGGTGCTGCTTGTTTATCTCTAAAAAGTAATGAAATCTAGACAAAGTCGTGCCAAGTCTATAATGGTTCCTTACTGCGATTTCTTTATTATTATAGTTAATGTTGTGTGACTTGGCCGTTGAAGGGTGACAAAACCAGGTGCTCCATGATATCGTTGCACCAATCTGTCGCCAGAACCGCTACCCATTGACGATGGAAAATTGCCACTTGGAAAACGTTGATTCAACTATAACCAGTCAATTGTAGGTTTAATAAAGCTGCGTATTTCAATAATACTTATGTATGATTATCTTAATAAAGATTGTTCAACGGCCAAGTCACACAACATTAACTATAATAATAAAGAAATCGCAGTAAGGAACCATTATAGACTTGGCACGACTTTGTCTAGATTTCATTACTTTTNTCTATTTTGATGATCATCAGTGAGTGAGTGAGTGTCGTAAATGCGAAACTTTGCTTTCGCATAACTTCGGAACTAAATGACCTACAGACTTGAAATTTTGGATTTTAAGTATGTGATTATAGCTTACTAGATGACGAAAATTTCTGCGTTCTGGTCTTATCCAGAGGGTCTCAAATAGGGGTCTGAAAATGCGGCGAAATGGTTCCAGTAAAGGATGGTACGGCAGTGTTTGCTTCGCGCTCGACTTGGCGGGGGCACTGCCGTGCCCCCAGATTCCAGGAACCATTAAGAGACCCGCGGAACTAAGTATTATAGCGTTAGATAAGTGATTATATCGGGACTGTCGAAAAGTTAATACCTGATGTATTTCCAATTTACACAAATTATATGAAAGCTAAAAAAATTGTTTACTGTTACTGCCTTTGGCACATAGTTAACATGACAACCTACTCTATTAGAGAAAAACAAATATCATATTTACATACGCTTAGGCTTAGATACTTTACTGTAAGTGCTAAAGACAAATATCTGTGCCATTGACAATGGTTGCTAACTAGTCGACCTTAAAGGCATCGCAAACACGACATGGGGCATCTATCTTAGGCCCAGAACAGACGGTGAAACGCAACTGCAACGAAACTGCAACTGCTAGTTACTTCTGAGTTGCATCTAAGTTTCTGCCATAGCGTCCGTTGAGAGACCACACATGACGCGACCAGTTTGAAACTTTCAACTCAAAAGTAACTAGCAGTTGCAGTTTCGTTGCAGTTGCGTTTCACCGTCTGTTCTGGGCCTTAGTCTTAAATTACTAGAAACCATATTAAAAGCAGTGTACCTAAACCAAAATACAGTCTTTAAAAGTTAGATAGACATAGAAAGAAACGGTCACGGGACTATTCCCACCTCTCGTCCCCACCGCTGCAACTCCTGTGTAGCCAGGATCTACAGCTTGACCGCCAATAAAAACCGACCAGTGAAGGTCAAGTTTGTCCCGGGGGAAAGTTAAAGAAACATTCAATTTTGAATAAGAGATGTATTTTAGTATTTTAGTGGGCTTTGACCGAACGGAAACAAATTATGCAAGAAATGATTTCTACTACATCCGACTTTGCATATTGTTTTAAAATGGATTCGAAAGCTGTCTCTTTACATCAAGATACACAATACTAGCTTCGGCTCGCGGCTTTACCCGATGGCCATTGTGAGGAATGTACTCGTAGGTCCAATTCTGCATTTGCCTCTGGTAGATCGGAGAGGTTCTTGGTCCTACAGTGGAAACTAAATTACTGGATGATGATCATGACGATTGATCTCTTTACAAACTATCACTGTTCAACCCGCGCGCAAACCTGGCTCGCATTAGAGGGAAGACAATCCTTAACTTCAAACTTCTATGTTCTTTCGATTAATTTTGTTGCGGGTCCAATGACAGTTTAACTTTCCCCGGGACAAACTTGGCCTCCACTCGGGGGTTTTGAATTTGATCCTGGACCATGATTCCTGGTAGGGATTGAGCGTGGGCAAAGAAGAAGCTGTAAGATCCTGGCTACATAGGGCTTGCAGCGCTTCGATCAGAGTATAGTCCCGTAACCCTCTTCAATTTTCAAGTATTATTTATTTACTAGCGGCCGCCCGCGACTTCGTACGCGTGGATCCCGTTTTACCACCTTCATCTATCTTACGCTGTTTAGATTTTTTCATACAAACGTTTTTTCCCGCTAACTCCCGTTCCCGTGAGAATTTTGCAATATCCTGTTGTAACTAAGCTTTTAGTTTACTAAGATACCTGCATACCAAAGTTCAAGCGTCTAACTTAAGCGGTTTAGATTTTTCATACAAAAGAATTTTCCCGCTAATTCCCGTTCCCGTGGAAATTTTACAATATCCTGTCGTAACTAAGCTTTAAGTTTACTAAGATACCTGCATGCCAAATTTCAAGCGTCTAACTTAAGCGGTTTAGATTTTTCATACAAAAGGATTTTCCCGCTAATTCCCGTTCCCGTGGGAATTCCTAAGTATACTATAACCTGCCCAGGAGTACGAAGAATAATTGTACCAAGTTTCGTTAAAATCCTTCGAGTAGTTTTTGTTTCTATAAGGAACATACAGACGGACAGACAGACAGACAAAAAATTTACTGATTGCATTTTTGGCATCAGTATCGATCACTTATCACCCCCTGATAGTTATTTTGAAAATATATTTCATGTACAGAATTGACATCTCTACAGATTTATTATAAGTATAGATATATGTAGATTAACCCACCATATCATAGAACTTCTTCTCCATAAACGGCTTGATGATGAGCAGCAGCTTGTCCAGCACCGGCTCGGTGTTCAGGATGTGGATGGCTCGCATACGCACTGGCAGCGCCTCTTGCAGGTACACGAAGAATTTGCGGAAGCCCCTGTAAGTACAGATATATTCGTTTTAGGTTATGGCATAGCCAGAATCTCAAAAATAAAATGGTAATGAGCAGGGCAGGGCACATAACTAGTGAAAAAAGGCCATGGGTCAGAAATGTTCTCGAATAGGCGGACGAACCAGTAAAGTTTGCGGGCATCGCAGGACCGGTAACAGTGGGAATCCTTGGGAGAACCTACTTGGACATCTTTTGGTTGAAAGAAAGGTTACGAAAGTGGTTATGAACTAAAAATATTGGTTCGGGTTTTTATAGGCAGTTAAGTTGTATTTCCTGGCTGCAGAGTTGCAGCAGTGAGAACGAGAGGTGGGAAAGGTTGTGTTACAAATATTGGCATAAAACAGTGTAAAAAACTGAAAAAAAATCTGGAGCTGTGTGGAGAAAATTAGTTAGGTAGGTATACCATTTTTTGTCCATCTTCCATTTATATTTTTGGGGGACTAATGATTGTGATTTAAATATTGACGACTTTGTTTTTGTCCGAAAAATAAACTAAATATTGAGATGAAGGTGACTGAGTTTCTTCCACCACTTCCTCTCAGCAACAGCCCATACGTTATCCCGAAGTGGTGGTAGGGCAAGCTCTCAGATCATAGTGATGTGAGGGCAAGCTATACGTATTTGGGACGTGTATAAGTGCCCTGGAAAGGGCCTATGTACTGTATAAACTATGCTCCGTCCGATGAATCCCATGGCTGATCCCTATGGCGATTCGGTGATGAACATGACAATTTAAAAACCGTGTTTCGCTAGAAATCTCTCAGCATTGACCATTAATTTATTAATTACGTAGTTTTTGCATAACCAGCTTAAGTCCAGTGCAGTTAATTTGCGGATTACGTAACAGACATCAGATTGCGGTCATCAACTAGAGGAAACTCATAACAACAATGTTGTGCCACTTCATTATGCTTTACGTAAGTTTATTGCATACTATTTTGCTCCTGCCCGTGACTTTTTCCGTGTGGACTTCTTCTTTCTGCTGTTTGTCGTTTTTTTAAGAGAATATTAGTAATTTGTGCAATACAAGTCTCGTTAACCCCTCGTGGTAAGCTAAATATGCTAGTATTAGGCACTTTAAACTGTTGCTTTTTGTCCAAATCACAATCATATAACTACAGATCCTTTACAGATTGAAAAGTTCTGGCAAACCCCTCCGGGTCATATACCGGCAAAAACTTTGAAAATAAACAAGCAAGGGCTTCTCATTGAAATTGTGTTTTATTGTAGTGCCATCTTGCCTTTTTCCTTTTATCGGGGAAACACACAGGGGGTGTAAGGTTTCGCGACCCGTTTGAAAACTAATACGAACTATTCCATACTTATGACTATCCCTGGAGTCTGGATCCCCAACGGCCATCATCACTACGAGCTATGTGCCCCGCCACTTGATTTTAGCAATCCTGTGAGCTTATGTCGGTCACTTTGGTTCTCCTGCGGATCTCTTCATTTCTGATTCGATCACATAAGGAAATTCTTGGGTAACTCATCATCTATCAATTCAATGTATTGTATGTGACGTGACGGTTTGAATTCCGGGATAGGTATATTACTTTTTGAGGTGCAAAATAACGAGGTTTTTCTTTGGTTTTTCACACACACACACACCATTATGCGCCATTGTTGTTATGTATTTTTTCCTTACTTTTACTGTAACAAAACCTGTTATCATAATATTAAAATAAGTCAAATCTTAAACTCAAGTCCCCAAGATACAGGATTACCTAGTTTGGGGACTACTAGTAAGCTGTATATTGTAATCTTTGGTAATAAAGGTTTTATTATTTTATTATTTTTTATTTATTTTATTTATTTTGTTTAAATAAATAGCCCCGTTAATCCCTCGTAAAAGCTAAATGTTTGGATAACGTATGGGTTCTCCACAATATTCCAATTTAAATCCAGACAAACAGTCACGGACAGAGTCTACAATATTAGTTAGACACGGATATGATATTTTTAGGTATTTATCAGCTTTATTTACCAGTGTTAATGACCAATAAAAATGCCGGCACCATCGTCCTATGCGATACTTTTAATTCAATTCGCATTAGAATTATCAACTTAGAAGCATTCGATTTATGTAGTACAGTCAGCGTCAAATAGTTCGGACATCCAAAGTAGCCAAAAAGTTCGCAACACGTCTTTGTTACAATTGGAATAAGGTTGTGTTGTCTACTTTATGGCCACTTTGGGTGTCACGAACTCTTTGACGCTACTGTACATCACATCTCACATTTTTTACAATAATAGTACTTAATACAACTAGTTAAAGATGTCAATAAGTATTTAGTTTGATGTACTGTCTACGTGATAATGATCACGTGCTAACTATGAAGCCTTTTGCTAAATATTATGTCGTTTGCGTAACACCTATTAGTAGAAACCTTGGCTGTGAAAATCTCAAACTACAGCCTTATTTAAGAAGCACTAGAATTCTGATTCGCATACGAAACTACAAGAGCTCATAAGCGTAGATTTGTATGCAAAGAACCGAAAGTTTAAAAAATACATAATAATACATATTATGAATGCGAAAGTTACGACTTCTGTTGCGTCTTTAAGCCTAAAGCTAAACAGCTGAGATATTTTTTTATGAATTTTAGTAAAGAGATAGAAAAAGGACATTGGCAAACTTTTGTCGCATAAAAACATTTAAGGAGTGAAAATAAGGTATAGAAAATTATATTTTTCTCTTTTGGCCAAAATCAGGATAACGGTGTGCAGCTAAAAACTAAAACATCAATAAATCAATGGTGCTTTGACAATAATATAAGATACTAACATTTTAATTAATAAACATAAAGTAGGTGAACATTTAGCAATAGATAAAATACATACATAAATACTTATAAATAGTGCACATAGAAAGCATAAATACATAAATTGCACGTCTTTTACCTTTGTTTATCCTTTTGAAAGCTAAAAAAATACATTGTTTTAATACACAGTAAAGATCATATGTAACATTTTTTAAATTAAATCATTAAGTTTTGGTAGGGATTTAAATTCCAGATGTGAATGAAATTAACTGTTACCAAAGTTGTAATAAAAAAAAAGCAAGTAACCTTAAAAAAATACCATTAATTTAAGTTTAAGCGTTTATTAAAAAAAATACAGGGTGCTCCATAAAAACGTGACCTCAGAACATCAGGCCTCTCTAATCCATCTGGCCAGGGGAGTTTAAGCCAAATCCTCATTTTCCCTCTGGTAAATTAGCTAGAGCCGCGTTCCTAAGGCTATAATGCCCGATTTCACCATCAATCCCTAATTATTAAGTGACCCCTATGGCAACACACAAGAGGAATTTTGTTTTCATATGGGTCATATAAAACTTAGGGATTGATGTTGAAAACGGGCATAATGATCTGATGATCTCTGATTTATTCGATTTGTAGACTTGAGAATGATGGAGTGGACATAATATGATTATAGTAATCAGATGATAAAGAGATGATAAAGGTATTGAATTTGATACTGTCTAAAGATACCAAAAATCTCGCTAAAAATAAATCAAACGAAACAAAATGACAGAGGTAAAAGAGACGGCAAATGTGGCTTTAATTATAAATATTAATGTGATAATAAGAATTATAGTTCTAGTGCTTAATTCAGTCCGTGCCTGAGGTTTGTTTTTTTTTATTTAGTGCCAACCAAACCTCCCTGGGAGGTTTATTTCTGCCAATGTCGAGTGAAAAATTGACATAATATCATCAATAGAACGAGGGTGTTTCAGTTCTATTGATTATTCGTGGATTCCGTGGAGTTAAAAATTGGAAGAATACAAATTTTTCAGCACAATCATTGTTGTTTTTTCAGAAATTAATAATTTATGTTTGTTTAAAACAATGAGACGAAAAAAATATTACGATAAACAGCATATTTTTTACATTAACAATAGAAACATTAATGCGCAGATGAAAACCTTGAAATCTATACTCAACAAAAAGAAAACAATGAAAATACCTTTTAATTTACATGCATCATGAGCTCATAAAACATGAAACGGATATTTACGATTTCATAGGTTTATGTACTTCTACTTCGGTGAGATTAGAAAAGATTGTATATTTTTTTCTGATTGTCGATGGAGATTCTGTGCTCAGAGACAAGTCTAGTATTTTTTTATCTTGTGATAATTTAATTTAGATTGAAGTTATAATGTTTGTATAGTCTGGTCTGTGAGCACGTAGAATTTTGTCCAATGACCCCGAGCTGCCCATCCTTGTCGCTCGCGCGTAATTATGTTGCTGTTGCGCTCGCACACTCACTGCGGGCGCCCATCGCACAGTCGCGACAGCAATATAATTACGCGCGAGCGATAAGGATGGGTAGCTTGGGGTCTTTGGACAAAATTCTACGTGCTTGGTCTGCGAGGTCTTGGCTTTAATAATAAAAGTCGCGAGTCTTACCTACTTGTAGGGAGTAAAACATATAGTACCCAAAAAGATACTATTAGATATTACTTGAATAGATTTAGGACTTGGAAGGGAAATGTAATATAGTATAGAAACCAGTCGTAGTGATATTTTGAACTGGAATAAGTAACTGCTTAAGAGCGTT